GGATGGGATGGGATGGGATGGGATGGGATGATGGGATAGGATGGGATGGGATGGGATGGGATGGGATGGATGGGATGGGATGGGATGGATGGGATGGGATGGGATGGGATGGATGGGATGGGATGGGATGTGATGGGATGCCAACTATGTGACTTCCCATCCCGAACACTGCTGCTTTTGGTAGCATACCATGACCCAGAGTTAGTCGTGGTAACTGTGGATTAAAGGATTCAACCTTGTCCAAGGAGATGTCTGGCCTTTGCCTTTGGACCCTGGGAGTTGATCTCTGAGCCCTTGGAATGTGCTGCCTGATGAGTGTCTTTGTTTCTGTGGGGCTTTGAGCCACATCAAGAGTGTGATGCAGGGTGGGGCTTTCAGTTGGGTGGTATCAGCTCAACCTCCCAAGGGGCTGGAGGTTGGGGTCGGCCTTGTGGGTGAGCAACCAGGTTTGCATTCTGGACACAAAGGCTTAGGTAAGCTTCCCTGGTTGGCAATACTCCATGTGTATTGTCACATCAATGCCAGAAAATCAATGTTGTCCGTGACCCCATGAGGAGACAACATTGGAAGCTCCACGTTTAGACCGTTCTAGACTTTGCCCTGTGAACTTATGCTCTTGGCTGATTTTAATAGATATGTATGAAAAAACAGGTGTGCGTGTATATGTGATATATGTATATGTGTATATATATATATATATATATATATATATATATATATAATCTTTCATTTCTGACACAATAAAAACTATACCTTCTTTAAAGTTTTGAACACTTATAGGCAGATTTTATATATCTGCCCATAATTGTTCTTTTTCAAAACTTTAATATATAAAATCTGTCCATAAGTCTATGCAATAATACTAGCATAGCACTTGATAAGTGTGAGCACTGTTTAAAGAACTCCATATATATTAACTAACAATACCTGATATAGTAAATGAAATTTTTAAAATTTGTATTATTGGAGATTGTTTTCTCCTGACAGTCAAGTGCCCTTGTTAAAAGCAGAAAACTGTTACTTCGAACCTACAGTTTGTATGCCATATTACATCAGATAAATACCCCTTTCTCTCTCCAATTATCACGGATCTGATGCTGGCAGGAACAAAGAGGAAACACAGAATATCAATAAATCCTTAGTCCCCAAAAGACATTACCTTCTTTATTATTTAGCAGTTTGATAGTGCTGTGCCCATTACAAATAGAATTTCACACACACTGTCCAAGTGTGGGTAAAACTCAACTCCTGCTGCCCCTTTCCCCCTCCTTCCCCCACCCCTCCAGTTCTTATTGTTCTGAGTGATAAGATAGGAAGGGCCAAAACTTGGACCCTGATCTTCTGACCTCAAACCCAAGCCTCTTTCTACCACCAGTTTGTGCTTTTGCATAACAAATAACCACTTGATTACTCACTTTTTTAAATGTGTGCAATCAGCCCTATTCTAATTGTCATGATTCAAAGCATATTCAGAGGCCAGAAGTGCACCTTACATCATCATATCCATCCTCACTACAGCTGCAGCCAGTGCTTACTGAATACTATGTTATTGTTCTAAAGGTTTTAAACATATCAACTCATTTAATCACAAGGACGGTCAATGCTGAAATAACTCCCATAGACAGATCTATTATCCATTCAACTCTTACATTTGTGGAAAATAGCTATAGTGAAAACAATGTTGACCTTGGGATAAAAAAAAAAGAAAAGAAAAAAGAATTAGATTCAAATTCAGTCTCTTATGTTTACTGGCTGGATGACCTTAGAAACGTTTATCACCCTCTGAACCCACTTTGAAGGACTATTGTGTTAAAATGTGTTCAGTGCATTGAATGGAACCTGGTTCATCTAGTTCTTGTACAGCATCTCTTAGTTTTAGGAGCGACAACAGGAGGCGAGTCTTGTTATCATATTCATTTGACAAGTGAGGAAGAAGTTCAGATAGGTAACCGGTGAGTGGGTATCTAGGGCATGGACGCCGCTCTCCCCATTCTGAGGCAGCTCTTTTTCCCGGGTGCCATGTTGGCACCCTGTGGACAAAGTTGACCTGGGTCTCAGGTAACTTCTAAGCCTTGTAGTAACCTGCCTGGCAGACAGTGTTCCCACAGTTGGGCTTCTGTGCTTTACGGCATTACTGCCACTCTAAATAATCCAGTGCTTCTGGACCTTACAGAGTGACAACACCTCGACTATGACAGTTCTGACAGCAGTCTGCTTGGGGATTCTATTAGAACTTCATTTGGAATTGGAGGGCTTTTGTTTGGGGTTAGTTCAAGTGTAACTCTAAGCAATTATACCCTAGTTATGGAATGATGGTTTTGCTGGCTTAATTGTATTCTATTTGAATAGAATTCCAAGCACTTGTTGGAAAAGTAATGGGCCTCAGTTTCCCAGCCCTGATGCTATTCCTGCTTCAGAACCAAGCCTTCTTAATGAGTCCCTTTTCTGACTAAATCTGCATGGGTAAATTCTTAGGCTGAAGCTATAAACTCCTGATGGGCAGAGAAATAAGGGAACAAACCCATGTCCACTTTGTTTGAGGGATTCATTTCACTTAGACCCCCGAATACATGCCCAACCAAGTCATACCTAATATGGCACTCAAGAAGCAGAAACTAATGAATATAGGCACTGTAATTGTTAATGAAAATTATGCTCACAAATAAATCAATGAAAATTATTTTAAAAAACTAATTCAAGTCAATGGGCTGCCAGATTTGGAAGAAATTGCACCTAAAACATTGATAGCATTCGATTATTAATTTTTATATTTTGGAGGTAGGGTGTTCATAAAATACTAGAGGCCCAGAGCATGAAATTCATGTGGAGCGGGGGGAGTCCCCTCAGCCCAGCCTGCACCCTATCCAATCTGGGACCCTTCGGGGGATGTCTGACTGCTGGTTTAGGCCTGATCCTGGAGATCGAGCCTAAACCGGCAGTCAGACATCCTTCTCACAATCCAGGACCGTGGCTCCTAACTGTTCACCTGCCTGCCAGCCTGATCACCCCTAACTGCCTCTGCCTGCTGGCCTGGTTGCCCCCAACTGACCCCCCCCCACCACAGGGACTAGATTATTAGTGAGACAGGCAGGAGATACTTTCTTATTTAATAAGATACTGCAAATCAACCTGTGCAATGAACTAAATGTTTATGTACCCCTACAATTCATATCCTCAAATCCTAACCCCCAGTGTAGTGGTATTAGACAGTGGGGCTTGGGGGATGTAAGTAGATCATGAGAGTAGAGCTCTCAAGAATGGGATTAGTGCCCATATAGAAGGGACTCCAGAGAGTCTCGCTCTCTCTCTGCCTTGTGAGGACACGGTGAGAAGTCAGCAGTCAGCCACTCTGAAGAGGGCTCTCATCAGCCACTGAATCTGCTGCCACCTGGATCTTGGACTTACAAACCACCAGAACTGTGACAAATAAATGTTTGTTGTTTAGGCCACTCAGTCTCTGCTTCTTTGCTGTAGAAGCCTGAAAGGGACAGAATATGCCACCCCAACATAGGCTACTTGGCATAAGTATTATATTGAGGTGAAGGCACTTGAAAAACAGCAGGTGTCAGAAGGGCTCTCTGATCCTCTTTTCTTCCTGAAAGCAGGAGCTAAAACTCCCAGGTGAACCATGTCCTCGCCATACCAGGAAAAAATAATCTCATCACCATAGACAGGGAGTTGAAGCCGAGGAAATGCCATGCAAACAGACCTTGTTAAAATAATTTGCGTCTTTGGTGAAAGCCTCTCATATGTTTTAGCTAATTTCTCACGGTGCCTCTCTGTTCAACATAGTAGAAAAGCATAGGTGTTGCCACTTCTTTGGGGTCTTTATTTCCTTATGAGAGTTCCCATGTCACATGAAACATATTAGTTTATATGCTTTTCTCCTGTTAATCAGTTTTATGTCTGTTTAATTCTCAGGTCCAAACAGAGACCCTTAGTTTTGTCTCCCCTACAGTTTCTGGACAATGAGGGTGTGATCGTAAAGGGCTGGGATGCCCACTGCCACTCTCTTCAGAGCCTGGGGTTGAGGTCCTGGGAGAACGGACAAAAGCTGGCAGAAGGCAAGAATTCCTACAAAGCTTTCCTGGATCTTTGTAGCACTGGTAGAGAGAGGAAGGTAAACATTTCTCCTTGTCCCTTCCTTTACAAGTTCAGATTGGGAGGGGGGAAACATTTGTAAAAAAAATAGTTTTTTGAATTGTGGCCCTTGTGAATTTGGTTTTGGTACCATTGACTATTGTTCCTGCACCAGAAACAGCGATTGCTTTCCTTTTGGCCTTATTTTGTGTAGCGAGAGTTGGCCTTGGCTTTCTACCTGCCAGGGCATGCAGATGGTTGGGCCTGTGTCTACAGGGAGCAAATGGTCAGATTGGGGGTCCCGAGAACATGATGGTACAGACATGTGGGTTGAATACCATTTGTGGCTAGCATCCTACCAACAGTGACTATTTCTCAGGGGTGAGGGGAGGTGTCTACCTCTTTCTTTTAAAGGCTGTCTGTGTGTGTGGCTCTGGAACTTGGGAGGGCTGCATCGTTTGCACCCTCTTTGATGATGCTTCTTGTGACCATAATTAATCCATTAAAAGGCGTACTGATTTTAAGCCATAAAAAGGCTTTTTTTGGCTTGTAGTCACATTGAAATAGATATACCTTTGAAGATTTGGACTTTTATATCTAAAAGGATATTTGGAGATCTTTTATCATAAACAAATAAAGATCAAATTAAAAAGAAAAAAATTAATAAGGCAAAGATGAGAATCAGCCTGGCTGGCCAATATGGCTCAGTGGTTGAGTGTCGATCTATGAACCAGCACATGATTCAGTCCCCAGTAAGGGGCCTGCAGGAGGCAGCTGATTAATGATTCTCTCTCATCATTGATGTTTCTATCTCTCCCTCTCCCTTACTCTTTGAAATCAATAAAAATATTTTTTCTTTAGCCCTAGCTGGTTTGGCTCAGTGGATAGAGTGTCGGCCTGCCGACCAAACGGTCCCGGGTTCAATTCCAGTCAAGGGCACATACCTTAGTTGCAGGCTCCTCCCTGGCCCGGGCCCAGGTTGGGCTATTGCAGGAGGCAACCAGTCGATGTGTTTCTCTCACATCGATGTTTCTCTCTCTTTCCTTCTCTCTTCTACTCTCCCTAAAAATCAATGGAAAAATATCCTTGGGTGAGGATTAACAACAACAACAACAAATATATATATAGTGTTTCTGTATTTATACCTAACTCATGGATAAGATTTAAAATGAAACTTATAAGATCTCTGTATGCATAAACATACAGGCAACTGTATGTGTATGTCTATACATATGTGCATTTATGTATATGTTGATCTTACCTCCAGATGACATTGCCAAAATTAATTTGTGAAAGAGTTCTATTTAATGGCTTAAGAAAAATAAGTGCTATATAAATTCATAAAACTCTCAGATGTATAAAAACTAACTCCAATGCTTTTTTTAAGTTCACATGATCTGGGATAGTTTTCAGTAAATAAAAGTTAGTTTAGACATTTACACTATGGAATACTATGGAGTTGTAAAAAAGAGGGGTCTCTTATCCTTTGGGACAGCATAGATGGACCTGGAAAATACTATGCTAAGTGAAATAAGCCAAACTGAGAAAGACAAATATTATATGATCTCACTTATTTGTGGAATCTAATTAATAAAATGAATTGACCAACAAAATAATACCCGAAGCATGGAGGCATGGAACAGACTAACATACTTCGATGTGGGCTTAGGGGGATGAGAAGAGATAAACCAAAGAACTTACATACTGTACTTATATGCATAGCCCACGGGCAACAGGGTAGTGAAGACCTGGAGGGGTGGGTAGGGGCTGGGAATAGGGGAGAGGAAGGGAGGAAAATGGGAGATATCTGTAATACTACCAACAATAAAAAAATTATTTAAAAAAATAAAAACAACTATCATACACCTAGAAAAAAATAAAGTTTGTTTAAGTTTGTTGGCTAATAAAAACAGGCATATCTCAGAATTGTGAACATTAAATATAGGGCAGTTGTACAGATTCTTCTACCTGAGCTTACTAGTCAAATAAGCTTATGTTATCTCTATTGAATGTTTATGATTATAAAAGTATAAGTTCAACCTAAGAACAAAGCATACAATAACAAATAAATTTCTTCTTTTTAATTTTTATTGTTGAAAGTATTACATATGTCCCCTTTTTTTCCCATTGACCCCATCTAGCCTGACCCCACCCCCACCTTAAAAACTCTTACTGAATATTCTTATATTCATGGCAGTATAGCTGTTTGAATAAGTTCAATTAGAATGTGTTCTTCTTGTAACAGGACAGAATTGGAAACATTGGATATATTACCATGGCTTTGACTGGAACATCATATTTGAGAATATGCATAGAATTAGATATGACCAGACAGATTTAAGGAACTCGGATCGACTTTATAAAGTCCCTGATACCTTGTTTACAGGGTCCCAGCCTTATAGGTGAGTAAGAAAGGTCATTTCCTGGCAGACCCAGGAAACTTAAGTTACAGGGGCCTCCAAAGGAGAGGAATTTACCCAGACCTGCAGTATGGCAGGCAGTCTGGTGCCAAGTTCCGGACTTGGCTTTTCAACCTCTACAGACTTTTAAAGGTCCAATCTGAGGTTGCTTCTTAAAAGTTCTGGCAAAGGAGACTTAAAAGAGAATACGTGATAAATCGCTATTCTTGTTGCACGTATGTAAATAATCAAGCCAAGTTTAATAAGAGTAGATTTGTTTTACAAACAAACGAGTCCTGCTTCAATGCTCTCTGATAACAATGGGGTGGCAGCAGAGAGGACATTCTGGGTTTCAGTAACAACTATGACACACCTTTGTGGCTGTCGAACAGGGCCATGTTCACTGACTGAATGTTCCTCCTCTTTGTAGACTGGCTCCTGTGATGGCGTGTATTTTGTCAGTAATAATATTTTCCATTTTTCTCCCACTTTCCTGACTTGATGTCACTAAAAATTATAACTGCCCTTTTTCTGAAGCCCTGCAAGCTGGTAGATGTCAAAGGAATCACCACAACAAATCATGTGTGGACAACCTTCATACTTGCTGCTGTAAAGCCTGATGCCCCCACCAGAGACATTCCAACTACAAAAAAATTAAAGTCATTGGATTGCCACTGCCTGTCCTCCCTCCACCATCTGAAGATGCCTCAAGCCCAACAACTAAAAATTTTCTTAACTGGCTGCCCTCCAGACTCAAAAACTGAGTTTGTAGTTTCTTCTAGTCATTAACCTTTGTTTTTCTTTTGTTTTCTTAGAAATACCCCTAATTAAATGCCAGTTACTCCTACTATATAAAGGACTAATTTAGATGCTCCCCACGTCCACCTACACCATTGCCTCCTCAAATAGGACATGGCTGTTTAACTAACTGACCTATTTTCAGGACTGAGAGGCTGATTCAATGAGATATGGAACAATCTACCAACCCAGCTTCTGGATTGTGACCCCAGTATTATTTTGGTAAACAAACTATAGTACATAGTAACCTATTGGGTGTATTTTAACTTTTCAATGGCAATTTTGAAACATATGTAAAAATAGTATAAGGAGGCCACATTTGAGCTTCAACAATTATCAACTCATGGCCAATCTCTTCTACTTTACATGTATAAATTACTTTACCTTTTGCAACAGCTTGGATGGACCTGGATGGTATTACGCTAAGTGAAATAAGCCAGTCAGAGAAAGACAAATACCATATGCTCTCACTTATATGTGGAATATAAACTGATGAACAAAATAGAAACAGAGGCATGGATACATGGAACAGACTGACAGTGTCAGAAAGGAGAGGGTTTGGGGGGCTGGATGAAAGAAGGCAAAGAACATATATGCATAGCCCATAGACACAGACAACAGAGTGGTGATAGCCAGAGGGCAAGGGGGGGGCAGATAAGAGGAGGTGGGCAAAGGAGGGGAGAATGGAGACAGAAAGAGACTTTGCATTGGGTGAGGGGCACATGATGCAGTATACAGATGATGTTTTGTTGAGTTGTATACTTGAAACATATATAATTTTGTGAACCAATGTCACCCCAATAAATTCAATTTTAAAAAATATAGTGTTTAAACTACTCTCATCTACATTATCTCCTTTGATTGTCCTAACAACTGTGAAAGGTAGGTTGTGTAGTTTTATAGTTAAATTCTATTTCGAACACATTAGCATTTTAATGTAAATGCCAATTTTTAAGATAGTGAAGCAAAAGCTATAGAGTTTGCTTGTATTCTTTATGCATGCTTTATTGGGTTTTTAGTATCCTAATTCATTAATAAAGGGAAATGGAGGCACACTGGCATGTCATTATCTCCAGCTATTATTCAAACCGAATTGAATTATGTTTAATAAAATTATTAGGATAAATTACAGATTTTTACTTTTCTAGAAAACTGCTCTTACTGAATAACCTTGATCTCAACTCATCCTATAAAAATGGAATTTTACTAAACAAACTACTTCCAATGTCACATTTTGTGCACAATAGCTGCAAACATCTAAAATTTAAGGAAGCACTGTAATTTAGAATAATTCGAGGCCAAAAGTGACATTTGTAGAGGATCCAGATGCATGACAATCACATAAACCAAAGGAGCCATTTAATCATGGTCTGGATGTTATTTTTCTGACACTTATCAGTGAAACTGTCATGGATCCCTGGAATTGGGGCTATTAGAATTATTTATTTTGATATCACCCTTTTCCACATAATTGTGTTGGATGTTTTAACAGAAATTATTTATGTTCACATGCATGTGGGTATTGATTATCTATACCTGCACATTACATTATTACTTGTACATGAATTACTTCTGATTCTTTTTACAACCTGATTTGCATACCCATATTATCATGTAGATATTTGCAAATACGTGTGTGTGTATTTATATATATATATATATATTCCTGCTCTCTTTCTTACTTGACTGAGAACACCAAGGATGTCCCCAAATGTTCATCTGAAGGTTGATTTAGTCACACTGGCAGAACCCCAGGCTCAAATGTCAGATTGGATCAGTTCTACCCTGTGCACTAATCGCGCTGCCGTCTTCCTGCTGCAGAAGTTACAGTGGCATGCTACTCATCAAGGCAGAATGTAAATGTTTAGTGATTATACAATATGTTTTTGTTAACTCCCCAGATGGGATTTTTTTTTTTACCTTTGTTTGTTTATTTGAGAACAAGAGCTGAATGCTGAAATGCAGTGGCTGATGCCAGCAATCCAAGGCTTCATTAGTACAGATGAAGCAAAGCTCATTTGTTACACAAATAATTAGAGAGATTAAATGAAAATAAACACTTAGAGGATGTACAGAAGCTCTGAAGTTAGGTAATCATTTTAATTACTCTGGTGACTTCTACCAACCTTCATTACCAGCCACAGATCAAGTTCAAATTGTTTTATGTAAGAATATCATAAACCACAGGGAAAAGTACGAGAGCTGCCCAATGATTACGCTTCATAAAATGACATTTCTTCAAGCTTCCATTTAAAGGAGTTGTTTCCATTCCCGTACCTGACAAACTCTCTAAATATTTAAAGAGTGATACATTTTGCACTTAAGAGGGTTTTACCCTCATTTTATGCTTCAAAAGGACATTCTTAATAACATTTGTATTTCTATATCTTTATTGAGATTTGATCATAAAAGATGTGGGCCCACATTTTGAGACACTGACTGTAAAACATTATGGCATATTCAGTAGATTGAGATAAATGCTACTCAGAATCATGTCATCCTTATTTCGTGACAGTCTGCACCTTGTCTTTGGGGTAAATTGATTTCCTCTTTCTTCCCTTCCCTACCCCAACCTGGGAAAACTCTACCACACACAGGAATGCCTTCCTGACAAGTGGGGGCCCTCTCTCAAGCTATTGTCAGTCCAGTTTAGAATGGATTTCATTTTACATTCCTGGGTGATGATGGCGCTTCAAGATCGCCTGAGTTACAATCTTTAGAGGATGTGCTACCTATATTTAAATACCATTTATTGCCTGCCTTCACAATGCCAACTCCTCTGCAAAATGCTTTGCCTCACTGATCCTACTGAGTCCTTACAAGATGCCCATGAAGTATGTATTATTGACTCCATACTCCAGATGAGAAACTAAGGCTGTGAGAGGCTCATTGGCTTTCCAAAGTTGCCTAAGTAGCCCAGCTGGGAACCGAATCCAGGTCTGCCTGACTGCAAAACCGTGATGCCCCTAGAGATGATGGGATGAGGAAAACCTGGATGCAAATGCTGACGAAGGACAGCAGAAAAGATGACGTGACCTCCGGGTTGTGGATGTGCTAGTTATGTGTTGTGTTGATGACATCTGTGAATTCTGGACACCAGACGAAATCTCAGATTCCAAAATGTGATTGATTTTGAAAGTGTCTCATCTCTGAATAGCCCTGGATGCTTCTTTACCCCAAAGAAGAAGCAATTAGGAAATAGGTTTTATGGTGTAGTGGGAATAACCAAGAGTTCCATACTAATAAGATTAGTGGCGCTTTTTAATGTAATTCAGTAACCACTTGAGTTTACTCCAGCTAATGCACAAGGCATTTCTTTTCAACTGCATTAACATTTCCGACAGGATGAACAAGACTTGGGTATTCTTTATAAGGGAGGTGGGGGTACGTGCTGCTTTCTAGTATTTAGCCAGTTTTGCTCAGTGCTTAGAGCATTGGCCCATGCACAGTGGGGTTGTGGGTTTGATTTCTGGTCAAGGATACGTACCTGAATGCAGATCCAATCCCCAGCCCCATTGGGGCATGAGGCAACCAATTGATGTTTCTCTCTTTCTATCTCCCCACTCCTCCCTCCCTCCTTCTCTAAACAGTAATGGAAAAAAATACCCTCAGGTGAGGATTAACAAAAAAAGAAAGAAAGAAAAGCCTTTACTACATTGTCTTCCCTTCTTCCTTTCCCAGGATGCTGACATCGATTTCTGCAGGCGCACCCCAGGCATAGGGGTTGTGTTTTGCATACTCACAACTGTAAACCTACCTTCGCCTCACCTGGGTTCCCAGGCCCGTTTGGCTAGCCCAGAATATGTGAAGAGATGAGGATGTACTAATCTGCCGGGTTTAAAATATGAGCTGTGGGTGATACAGGGAGGTGGGGACAGAAGGCTTGCCCTTGAGGGGTGGGGGGCAGGGGGGTTGTTAAATCTGTACATTTGACTCTCAGGTTTCAGACTCTGAGGGGGAAGTTAGGGGAATTCACTGATGCGCCAAGGCGTGATGATAGGTGGGAGCAGCAAGGTTAGGCCCAAGACACCCAGGAGCTTCGGAAAGGTGGAGGGACATCTGCCCTCACTCAGAAAGCGCAACCGGGGGGATTTATTTGTGAGCAAGACCGAAGACAGACAACCGAGGGACGATGGGCTCCGAAAGTACCATAAGGGGAGAGTGGCTTTCCCACAGCTTTGCAAGGGTCTCCCTGAAACGTGACTCTGAAGTGTGGTCCCTCTTCTTCCTGGTACATTACAGACAGCCAGGGATCAGCTAGTAGGCCCACAAAATAGAAAAACTCCAAAGGCGGCACCAATGGTTTACTGTCACAGGTCTACACATCATCTTATGCTCTGTTGGATTTTGATTGCACGTGTTTACAGGTAGGAGGGCCAGCCCTCTGGGTCCGCCTGTGTGGGTACTGGTATCTGCAGGCCACGCACAGGGGAAGCCACTGGCTAGACCCGAGCACACGCGTTCCATTTTCACTTGGCTACTTGCCACCGACCTCGGAGAAGTCACTTTAAATACTGAGCCTCAGCTTCCCCTTAAAAAAAAAAAATGGTGGTGATTCTACTTCCCAGGCCTCCTTGAAAGGATCGTTGGGAGGTTCCAATTGGAGTAATTCCGATGGCAGCGAACTTCGAGTAACGGTGACGCCAAATTACTGAAGACCACAAGTTAAACGCATTCAGCTGGAGTTTCAGGACTTTCCCTCCACTGATCTAACTGCAGTCAGGCAGCAACCTCTGGGATTGATTCCTTCTTAAGGGCTATCTCACATGCCAAACACCTATGCGTCCCCCCTCCCCCTCGGGTCTCCCAGGGCTTCTATCGATTTCTGCCTTTCAGTGAAAGCGCTTTTGGTTGCCGCGGTTCGCACACCCCAGCACACCAGCCCCGCCGCTGGGAGCCAGAGAAGAATCCTTTGCCCTCTCCCGCCTCTCCTCCTCTCACTCCACACCTTAGGTCTCCCGAGTTTTCTGCACGTGAATGGGTTCCTGGCGGATCTCCGAAGACCTTGCAGTGTTTCAGAAAGCTGGGAGCGCGCGGAGATGAGCGAAGGAGCCTCTGCCCCCCTCCCGGAGGTCGTGCGTCCCTCGGGGACCCTCCTCCCGCGCCTCTCGGGGCGGTGAAGCCGCCGCCCCCGGAGCGAGCTCGTGGGGCCCGACCCCGCGGAGCAGCGGGCCCCCTCCCCACTTCCCGCTCGCGGCCCCTCTCCGCCAGTAGCAGCGCTGCTGTCTTCCCACAGGAGGGCTGGGAGGGCGCCCGAGTCCGCAGCGCCCCCGCCCCCTCGCTTTTTCTTTCTTTCCTCGGTTTGGGATCTTGCTACCGGAGCCGGGAGAGGTTCGGAGAAGAGAAGAGCGAGGGACCGGAGTGCAGGCTTCCGCTGCAGCGCGCGAACCGAGCTGGGGTGCTGCGTCTCCCG